GACTTCATTCTCTATTATCAATGTATTACATACTACATTACTGAATATAATATATGCTGTGCCAACACCCTTCATTTCTTTGTGTCGGCAAATATTAATTCCAACATTTTTTAATTTGTTAATGAAAGGTGAAATACACACAGGTGAAGTAGAGTTTAAGTATTTTTTCTCTAGTGTTTCAATATTATTTACCCTATTGGACTGTGTTAGTGTCTGACCTATTAGTAAATTTTGTTGATGTTTATAATATTCTTCAAGTGTTACACAAAGCTCTCATAGTTTGTTCATCTATGCTTTGAAAGATAAACTGACATTTAAAATAATCATTAAAGCATTAAAGAAAATTTCAATTGTAATCTTTTTAAAATGTTCAGATCAGCAAGCTATAATGAAAATATAAATGTATTTTTAATTTTTCCACAGAAACAAAACAGATTTTACTGTTCTCTTGTTTCTTAATATTTATTTCAAAAATGTTCACTATTACTCAAGTCCACTGATTAACTTTCAAAAAAATCAAGATTCTGAACACTAAAGCCTTAAGAATATGTTTCTTCACTACTAGATATTAGCCAAATGATATACACCAAAATAATTCTTAAAATTTTAAGCCAGCTTTTTACATATAAAATATACTATATACTACTGTAATTCATTATGAATGCTTACAGTATACAAATTAAACATTCTGATTAAAAATTCAGAAAAGGCTTTAACAGTCTATCTATATATTTTTACCTTATTTAATTCCTCCCGTTCTTGTTGTAATGCTCTGATTTGTTTCTCATAAGCCTTGATTTGTCTAAAAGCATCATCCAGCTCTCGCCTTACAGCCTTAGCTTCTTCAAGTTGCTGTTCCAAGTGACTTGATTCTAAAAGAGAAGACAATGTTTCTTTTGTTATTTGTATAAAAGCAAATGCTTGAAACTGTCAAAAAGAAAACCACAAGCCCCAAATGGAGTCACTTATTTTAGGCCAGGTCAACAATGAGGGAGTTAATTAAAGTTTCAACCTTCCAGAGAATAATCCTAACAGGAATTTTCTGGTTAGCACCAGTGAGGTATCTGTCACATGGGTCCTCTCCATCCCCCAAAGACAATTCACCTAATAAGACTCTTGCTCTTTGTTGTAAGATAAAATGACCTTGCCTGAAACAATTCTTTCTTTTCTTTTGCTAATAACTTTGCTTCACCCTCCTCTGGTTAAATGCTTCCATTTCATACAACTCCTTGGGGCTCCCCTCTCTACTTGCTAGATGGGATGCTGCCTGATTCATGAATTGTTTAATAAAGCCAATTAGATCTTTAAAATATGATCAGTTGAATTTTTGTTATTTGACAAAACTAAGGCTTAAAACAACCAAATTTAAAAAATAAAAGCATTTTGAATTTGGTGTTAGGCTTACTAACACCATAATTATGATTCATGAAAATTAGAAACTTTAAAGTTCACTGTAAAGATGGTGAACAGCTAATGCCAGTGTGAAGATGTGCAAAATTTGTGCAAAACCAAGAGCTGGAAACAATAACTAAAATTGACAAAATTACCTAGACTAAGAAAAAAGGAGAGAAGACTCACATGAATAAAATCAGAAATGAAAGAGGAGTCATTACAATGGACATCACAGCAGTATATAGGTCGTAAGAGACTATTATGAACAGTTATATACCAACAAAATGGGTAAGCTAGAATAAATAAACTTTTAGAAACATACAACCAGCCACAACAGAATCATGAAGAAATACAAAACGTTGAATAGAACAATAATGAATAAAGATGTTGAATCAGTCATCAAAAACCACCCAACAAAGAAAAGCCAGGACCTAATGGCTTTACTGGTGAATTCTACCAAATACCTAAAAAAGAATTAAGAACAACACTTCTCAAACTCTTAAAAAAAGTAGAAGAGAAGGGATACCTTCAAAATCATTTTGCAAGGCCAGCATTACACTGATCTCACAAGGCCAGACAAGGGACACCAAAAGACAAAATCAGTAAGTGGGACTACATCAAACCAAAAGCTCCTCAGCAAGGAAACCATGAACAAAATTATAAAGTAACCTATGGAATGGAAGAAAATATTTGCAATCATATATCTGATTAGGGGAATAAGACAAAAAAATACATAAACTCATGAAATTTAATGAACCCCATACACCCCCAGCCCACCAACATACAAACAACCTACTCAAAAAATGGGCAGCGGACCCAAATGGGTATTTTTTCAAAGAGGACATGCAAACAGATGGCCAAAAGTACATGAAAAGGTGCTCAACATCATTAACTATCAGGGAAATACAAATAAAAACCACAATGAGACATGTCTCACACCCGTAAGAATGGCTGTCATCCAAAAGACAAGAAATTAACCAATGTGGTCAAGGATATGAGAAATATAGAACCCTGTGCATTGTTAGTACCAATGTAAATTGGTGCAGCCACTATGGAAAACAGTATGGAGGTTCCTCAAAAAGTTAAAAATAGAACTACCATATAATCCAGCAATTTCACTTCTGGGTATTTATCCAAATGAAATGAAAACATAAAAAGATATATGCACACCCATAATTGTGAGGGAAGAAAACAGATGGCGGCATGAGAAGTAAGGCAGAAATCTCCTCCCCAAATCACATATAATATGAAAATACAGCAAATACAACTATTCCTAAAAGAGTGACCAGAAGTAACATTGCACCAGACAGTCTAAATCTGCAAAAAGAGCATGTCACTGAAAAGGGTAAAGTAATAAAATCACGACCTAGTGGGACCCAAGCACTCCCCCCACCCCAGCACACTGGCAGGAGGAAGAGAAGCAGAGCCAGGAGAGAGCAGAGACTCAGGACTGCTAAATACCTGGCCCCAGAAATCTATTCCAGGAGCACAAACCAATATTGCATGGTGCTCTGGAGACCAGAGGGGTTGAAAACTGACATCAGAGATTAAGACTGCAAACACATTCTCACAACCGGCTGCCATGGGACAAAAGAAAGGCAGGTGCTTTGAAAGACTTCCCAACAGTGAAAGGGCTGCTAAAGGGGCAAGGATTAGGAGAAGGAACAGGTGAACAAAATCATCCTGGCACACTCAGCCCAGCAAGTTGGGAACTTTCAGAAGCTTCGGGTGCTCCATCCCCCCCAACGCAGCCATGAGGCTCCCACGGCGATAAGCAGCCTGCCACTTATTCATCCATGCCAGCACCTATGGGCAAACCCAGAGCCCCCGCCATCACTCCAGACCAGCCAGACAGCAGCCCTGACTACAGCAACTACAAGACTTAACACAGAGGCTGCTCCCTGTGCACAGCTCACTGGCCCTGACATCAGAGGCAGGAACTGCAGCCGGGAGGCAGGAAAGAGCTCTGTCCTTCAGGTAGGCACTGGCACTGCTTGCCTGTGACCCCTGCCATCACTCCAGGCCAGCCAGAGGTCAGTTCCACCTATTACAGCTTAGGGCCTTAACGTAGAGGCTGCTCCTTGCATGCGGCACACTGGCCCTGATACCGGAGGCAGGCACTACAGCTGGGAAGCAGGAAAGGGTTTGTCTTTACGGTAGGCACCAGCACGGCTTGCCTATGACCACTGCAATTGATCCAGGTTCTGGGAAGCTCTGAAGAGCAGAGCTCTGGGCACTAGAGGATGCTGCCTACACAAACCTAATCTTTCTCACTATCTAATAGGATTAGAAAAAGGCAGAAGAACCTTATTCAATCCAAAATCCCTCAAACACAAGAAAGAGGGCTCAGTGAGACTGAAATCACCAAAATCCCTGGAAAAGAATTCAAAATAAAAGTCATAAGCATGCTAATGGAGATATGGAAAAATATTCAAGAGCTAAGGGATGAATTCAGGAGGGAGATAGACACCTTAAAAAATACAGCACTTGAAATGAAACAAAGAATGGAGGGATTTAAAGATTAGATGAGGTAGAGGAGATGGTAAATGGAATAGAAATTAGAGAATAGGACTATAAAGAAGCTGAGGCAAAGAGAGAAAAAAGGATCACTGGAAATGAAAGAGTATCAAGAGAACTGTGTGACCAGTCCAAACGGAACAATATTTGCATTATAGGGGTAAAGAAGAAGAAGAGAGAGAAAAGGGATAGAAAGTGTCTCTGAAGAAATAATTGCTGAAAACTTCCCCAATCTGGGGAAGGAAATAGTCTCTCAGGCCATGGAAGTACACAGATCTCCCAACACAGGGACCCAAGGAAGATAACACCAAGACATATAATAATTAAAATGGTAAAGATCAAGTACAAGGACAGAGTATTAAAAGCAGCCAGAGAAAGAAAAAATATCACTTACAAAGGAAAACCCTTGAGGCTATCATCAGACTTCTCAGAAACCTTACAGGCCAGAAGGAGTGGCATGATATAAACAATGCAATGAAAGAAAGGGACTTGAACCAAGAATACCCTACACAGCAAGATTATCATTTAAATTTGAAGGACAGATTAAACAATTCCCAGATAAGCAAAAGTTGAGGGAATTTAAATGCCACAAATCATCTCTACAGTGTATTTTAAAGGGACTGCTCTAGATGGAAGTGCTCCTAAGACTAAATAGCTGTCACCAGAGAAAAAAATCACAGTAAAGGAAGTAGACCAATTAAATACTAACCGATGCAAAATTAAATCAGTTACCCAGAAAGTCAGTCAAGGAATATACAAAGAGTACAGAATAAAACACCTAACATAAAAAGAGTGCAGGAGGAAGAAAAAGAAGAGAGAGAGAAAAAAGAATCTCAGATTATGTTTATCATAGCATAATAAATGAGTTAAGTTAGACTGTTAGATAGTAAAGAAGCTCCCCTTGAACCTCTAGTAACCATGAATCCAAAGCCTGCAAAAGCAATAAGTACATACCTATCAATAATCACCCTAAATGTAAATGGACTGAATACATCAATCAAAAGACACAGAGTTACAGAATGGATAAAAAAGGAAGACCCTATGCTGCCCACAAGGGACTCACTTCAAACCCAGAGACACACACAGACTAAAAGTGAAGGGATGGAAAAAGATATTTCATGCAAACAATAGGAGGAAAAAAGCAAGAGCTGTAATACTTCTATCAGATAAAACAGACTTCAAGAAAAAGAAAGTAACAAGAGACAAAGAAAGATATTATATAATGATAAAGGGATCAGTCCAACAAGAGCATATAACCATTAGAAATATCTATGCACTCAATATAGTAGCACCCAAATATGTACAACAAATACTAACTGAATTAAAGGGGGAAATGAAATCCAATGCATTCATTTTAGGAGACTTCAACACACCACTCAATCCAAAGGACAGATCAACCAGACAAAAAATAAGTAAGGAGACAGAGGCACTGAAAAACACATTAGAACAGATGGACCTAACAGACATCTACAGAACACTCTACCCAAAAGCAGCAGGATACACATTCTTCTCCAGTGCATATGGAACATTTCCAGAATAGATCACATACTAGGATACAAAAAGGGCCTCAGCATATGAAAAAAATTGAAATTCTACCAACCAACTTCTTAGACCACAATGGTATGAAACTAGAAATAAATTGTACAGAGAAAAAAAAAAGGCTCACAAACACACCAAGGCTTAACAACATGCTCCTAAATAATCAACGACCAAATTAAAAGAGAGACCAAGCAATATAGGGAGTCAAATGAAAACAACAACTCAATGCCTCAAATTCCGTGGGATGACACAAAAGCAATTCTAGTAGGAAATTCAGGCCTATTTAAAGAAAGAAGAACAATACCAAATGAAGTATCTAAATTCACAACTATTGAAACTGGAAAAAGAACAAATGAGGCCCAAAGTCAGAAAGAGGGACATAAGAAAGATCAGAGCAGAAATAAATAAAATTGAGAATAAAACA